AGTAGGAATTCTTTGGGCAATGCATTCCTTCCTCTCCTAGACTGGCTCTGTCTAGGAACAGCTCAGCTACTCACGACTAGCAGCTCGTATTTTGATAGTGATGAAGACACCTCAGGAATCCTCTTTGCTCACCTGGAATAAGACAATGAACCAGCAATCCGTAACATGGGCAAGAAAAACCTACACCACTCAGAGTAGCCATCCTTCTCACGAAGTCAACACATCGCTGTTCTTGAGATGGATTCTCGCAGAGCTACCTTGCCTGTCTCCAAGTTGACAGATGCAGGATGAAGAATAGCCATATGACCAGGAAACTCTGCAGCTGACCCTACCTCTTCCATAATTCCTCTCTTGTTCCATGGTGTAAACATGGCCAGTGAACATTAACTTTCTCAGCGTATTTGTTCTTTCTTTTTATTTATTTGTGTATTGTTATTGTAAAGTGGATAACAGAGCAGTTGTAGGCATATAAGCCAGGTGATGGGTACATTTCTTTGTTAACAATGTCACCCCTTCCCTCGCTCTCTCCCTGTTTTTGCCTCCCATCCCTCGCTCACAAGTTGTATAGTGCATTTTTTAACATAGTGTCCAATAAGGGCCTCTGCTGTATTTGTTCACCCTTTGTCCCTCCATTTCTGTATCCTCTTTTGCTCTCCAAAAGACTGATAAATGAACAAACAAGACAAAAGGGAAGGAAAGGAAAGGGAAGGGAAGGGAAGGGAAGGGAAGGGAAGGGAAGGGAAAGGAAGGGAAAGGAAAACAGAACAAAGAGAAAGAACCCCCCTTGTTTCCATTTCCTGGAGTTCATTTTGATACATATTATTTTATATGATCATAATGAGCCTTTGTGATCTTCTCCTAAGAATAATTTCCTTCATTCTCACTGTGTGAGAATGCCTAGAGACCTGAATAATTTATCATATCCCAGTGTATTTTTTTATCTTTTACCATCCAGTGTGTTTACTTGTAGATGTATAGACACATTGTAGTTATCACTAATGAGGGACACCATGCAACCTGTGTTTCTTGGAGTTACTTTGCTTCATATAATCAGGATCCGAGAGAGGATAAATAGTGATCACCGAAATTGGTGTATTTAAAGGTTAACGTTAGAAATTGCTGTGTTTGGAAGTCAATAAATTGTATCTATTCTGATTAACAAATAGAATTATTCCTTTATGATATTGACTGATTCTTTGGTAGCTCTATCTTGTGTGTGAGTATGAGTATGTGTGTTGTGGTGTGGTGTGTGTGTGTGTGTGTGCGTGCGTGCATGCACGGGTGTGCTGGTACTGAGGCTTGAATTCAGAACTTCACACTAGCAGTTGGCTTTTTTTGCTCAAGGCTGGTTTGAGCCTTGGTTTCACGCAAGGCTGGTTTGAGCCACAGCTCCACTTCCAGCTCTTTGCTAGTCAATTGGAGATAAGAGTGCACAGATTTTTCTTCCCAGGCTGGCTTTGAATTGCAATCCTCAGGTCTCAGCCTCCCATGTAGCTAGGATATAGGCGTGAACCACCAGTTTCCAGTCTATTTCTTCCTTGTATCTACTGCTCTCAGGTAAAGGAAGAAATCTCAAAAAACCTAAGTGGCCTTTCCCGTTATTTTATGCATTTGAAATATACTACTGTAATTCTCTGAGAAATGAAAGAGGTTTACCTCTTTAAGAATTCAAAATTACAGCTGACAGCCGGCTTGAAGAAATACTTGTGGATTAATTACAGTGACCCATAATTAAACACAACAGTAATTAGAGAAAGACCTGATGTTCCCAGAAATCATTCTTTCAAGAATGAGTGTTTATCATTCTTGTTTGCCTCCTAAGTGGCAGTTACCAACATCAGTTACTGAAATTTTTTAATTGAAAATGGGGAAAATGCATGAGGTACTGCCTCAGAGAAAGCTAAATATTTATTATTATATGATAAATTAAATCTCTCCATAATCATATCATATCTGTGGTTTGTGATACTTTTAAGGACAAATGAATCTCTACCACATACTTACTAAGAAGGCTAGCAGGTGGAAATGGTTTGCACAACTTGAAATGCTTACTTTCTTTCCTAGAGAACAAAAAAGAAAACACATGATTTTCACAGCAGGGTTAGGATTCTATGTATAATACAAAGCTATACAACAAGCTGAGAGAAGTATTTCATTAACTCCTACCAGCTTTCTAGCCCTGTATGCATCTATCTGGCAATAGTTCTAGACAAGCAAGTTCTAGACAAGTTCTGCTGCATGCTCACATCTCTCTTTCTTCATAGGGTTATCTATGTACAAGTATGTCCAGTTCATTGTTTATTTGCAGACATACTACATAATTAAATGGCTGCTTGTCTTTAAATATAACCAAACAAACTGTAAATAAAACAATGCCAAAAGAATCTCTTTTTTGGGGGGTTGGGGACTTGAACTCCAGGCCTGGGTGCTGTCCCTGAGCTCTTTTGCTCAAGGCTAGCACTCAACCACTTTGAGCCATAGTTCCACTTCTGGTTTTTGAGTGCTTAATTGGAGATAAGAGTCTTGAGGGAACTCTTCTGCCTGCGTTGGCTTCAAACTGTGACCCTCAGATCTCAACCTTCCGAGTAGCCAGGATTACAGGAGTGAGCCACCGGTGCCCAACAAAAGAATCTTCTAAGTGGGAAGCCTTAACTAACAACAACAGAGAGGATGATAGTTAAGAAAGCTTTGGAATTCATGCAACAGGTGTCTTTGGTAGTCTAAGAAGAATTCTATATATGGCTAGACTATCAAGGAGAAAGGCAGATGGAAAGCATTTTCAAACATGTCAGATCTCTAAACAAACAAAGTCAAAGAAGAAGGAGAACGAGGAGAAGAAGACAATGCAGAATACAGAAAACACAGAATCCAACATGGAAAAGGGGCTCAAGAAAACTAGAATGAATAGAATTATAGTTCTCTTTTCTCTTTCCTACCTGTCTGCTCTTCTCTAGGGGCAACCACTAGTAATGTTTCCAGGTGCCTCTCTAGGCTGATTTAGGCCATCTGAAGGGCTAAATAATGTTATCTTATTGCTTTAATTTGTTTTCCTTTCATTGTTAGTGAATTTGCAAAAGTTTTCCTATGTTCTCTGACTACTTCTATGATCAACTTGGTTATTTCATTTATTTTCTTTGCTAATTTATCATTTTCTTCAATTAATTTGACATAAAAATACATATTCACATTATAAGAAAGAAATCCTTTGGATGACTTGAAAAAGATTTCTAAGAGACTGCTGTCAACACAATGACAGGAAATTAAACAATACTGGAACGGGTAAGAAAGCCCTGGGAAAGACAGACTCTGCAGTGTTTACCTGTATGACAAAAATTCACACACGTTGGGTAACATCTGGAGAAAATGTATTGTTTTATGTTTAGAAATAAGAGAGAAAAAATAAGATAATCCACAAAGCACTCTGTTGCCTCAATGAAGATATATTTCTCACATACAGTTTAAACTGAGTTTGATACACTTTTATAGCCAGCACCAGTAGCTCACACCCATAAACCTGGCCACTCAAGTGGCTGAGATCTAAGTGTTCATAGCTTGAGGCCAGCCCAGCCAGAAAATTTACCAGATCCCAACTCCAAAATCACCAGCAAAAAGCAAGACTAGAGATATGTCTCAAGGAGTAGAGCACCATCCTACCAAGCCCAAGGCCTTGAGTTCAAACTCCAGGATATCTTAAAAAAAAACTCTAATAGAAATAAGACAATTTCATAGCAAGTAGTGGTAAAGAGTGAGTATAAACTCTAGTCAATTGCAACAATAAGGATGAGACTGCAAGATACTACTTTAAATGAATAACATCAAGCAAGGAAAGGCAAATGCTGAAATGTTATCATTCGTGTGCAGAAGTTAACAAAATTGATCTCACAGAAATAGAGAATGCAATCACAATTACCAGGGTCAGGGAGGAGGGGGAACGGGTAAAGAGAGGAGGTTTAGTTGAGGGGTTCATGAATACCATTGGATCAGAGGAATATATTTTCCAATATTCTATTGTGCAGTAAGAGTAGAGCAACTACAGATAGCAAAGAATAATTTTACATTTCTCAGTATGTGTGTGTGTATGCCATTTCTGGGACTTAAACTCAAGACCTTGCATTCTTACTCACTTTTTTCTCTCAAAGCTAGTGCTCTACCACTTGAACCTGCCTTTTTACTATCAATTGGAAAGAAGAGGCTCACAAATTTATTATTTCCTCAGATCCTCACAATCCTGCGATCTAGTAGACAGAATTTCAGGCATGAGCCACCAGAGCTGGCTAATTCTATATTTCAAACTAACTAATAAAAATGTTTTTGAATGTTTCCAGCATTAAGAAGAAATGACGAATGTTTGAGGTGATGGACAGACACCCAGTCCAGATCATTTCTCTCTTGTGCCTATATGTTCCCACACTAAACTCTACCATGGAAACACACGCAATTACAAAACAGTATAGAGAAGAAAGTGGAGATTGCTTTGCTATCTGTGGAAACTTACACATATTAAATAAATAATCACAGACTTCCAAAGATAGCAATTAAGAATTTTCAAAAGATGCGGCTTGGACATGTCATTTCGGAAAATATCTGCCCTCAACTGGCAGCCTTAGGAATTTGGGGAGGCCTCCAGCCAGCTCTGTGTCATAGTAACAGGGTTAGGCTGTCCGTGGATATGTGGGTACAATGGCACCCAGGATGGGAGACTGACAGCTGCTTCTTCAGAAGGTTAATGAGATAAAGCTACCTCCAGCTGGCCCTTAAGCTGAGATTACACTTAAGGGGGAAGATAAACAGATTATCCCACACACAGACACTGAGTATGTTCTGCACATGCTGACACCTTTACTAAGGCAAACTAAAGCAAGAAGGCGATTCTCATATTCTCACTCAGCTGGCACTAGAACGTCAGTCATTTTCAGACTTCCATCCTTTTCTTCTTTCCATCAATCCTAGAGGTTGTCCTGTGATTTTCTTCTCAGACCTGCTAATGCCCAAAAGCCAGGATGTATTTGGAAACAAAAAGAGCTATTTTTATTTGTTGGATTTTTCTACAAGTTCAAGGAAGCAAAGGTAAGTTATTTAAATGTTGGTTTAAATGTATTTTTATTGATAGTCTATTTATAGAAGAGAGTGCTCAGATTCAACAAAGTCACCGTTGTGCCTCAGAGGGTGGGTATATGGTGGAAGAGTAAATAATTGGTTGGCTGATGGAATTTTAATTTTCAGAAATACTAGTTTAATAATGTTTTATATTTACTACCAAATCTTAAGTGCAGTTTGTGTTAACGATATAAGAAAGGTGAAGGTATTCTACTTGCTGTGACAAAGCATCTACGGAAAAATCATATCTTTAATACCAATAACATCAGTAGGTCCGTGAAAATGATTCCATTTCTCCACCAAAAGCCAACATACTAAATGTAAATTTGAAGTCAATATCTTAAGACAGTTATAATCAGATTAGAATGTGTTTCATACTTCTCAAAATTATATCATTAGTTCCCTCTCCATAGGAAATATAAATGCTTCATCACCAGTGCTTATGATGACAACTTGCTTAAACTTGGTTTTTTGTTTGCTTATTTGGTTTTGGGCTGGTACTAGGGCTTGAACTCAGGACCTGAGTGCTGTCCTTCAGCTTTTTCACTTAAGGGTAGTGCTCTACCACTTAAGCAACAACTCCACTTCTTGATTTTTGGTTGTTAAATGAAATAAGAGTCTCACACACTTTACTGTCCAAGCTGGCTTTGAACCTTAATCTTCAGGTCTCTAAGTCTCCTGAGTAACTAAGCTTACAGGCATGTGCCACCAGCACCTGGCTTTGGGTTGGTTTTGTTTGTTTTGAAGCTGTAAAAATGAAAGAACTTAGCTGAGTTACTACTTATGACCAGTCTTCAACAGAATTTGAAAATAAGCCACAAAACAGCCTTATTTAAGAAAAATAACAGATTTTGCATTATTAAATATCTATTAAAGACAGTTTGACTCATTTAAGCATAAGCCTAATCATTATAATCTTCCTAAGATAATTTAAGTCAATAATGTTAGGTTCTTCTTTAAGAGTGACATTAAAATGTTTGACCAATAAACATGGTAATGGAACTATTCATTTTTAAATGTCCATAGAAAAGCAAAATAAATAATTACTGCATTTGTAAGTCACAAAATATCTGTGATTCCTTTCATTATTTCACATGTAACTTCCCTGTGGTTGCATTTGGAAGAAACAAACTTTTAGTCAAAGACAATATCAAAACTTCTTTGAGTTATTTTAGCTATCAATGATAGGAGATGAGCCAGAAGTTTACTTATCTTTCCTTTCAGTTATCAATGTTATAGAAATGTTTGCATTTATTTCTCTAAAAAAACATTTTAATTAGAAAAAATTGTAACATTCTAGTATATTCTCAGCTTAAAATAGTAAAGCCAACCAATTTGTCTGTTTGATTAACTTGATTGGGTACCATTTAATATACACCTATAAAAAATGAAATAAAATAATTGCAACTACATTAAAAAATACTCAACCATGTGAATCAGCTTTGCTTATTGGATTACACTAATGGACCATGTTTTCTATTTTCATGTTATAAATCCTTTCTTATGTATAATTATAAATAAAATAATGACATGTAACAAATTACAGAAAATAAGATCCCCTGCAAAAAAAAATACAACTTGTTATGTGGCTACTTCCACAAAACAATGTGCTCTACTTACATAATAGGAAATCCTCACATGCAAGTAGTGTAGGCTTTTTATTCCATAAGAAGCTTGGATGTGTGCTTCTCTGTAACTCTCCAATTAGCGAGTTGTGAATTATTTAGAATTTATGGACCTCAGCCTGATCTCTATATGACCGTTAATCATTGTGAATTATTTGCATAGAAAATGGTTTGTGGACAGGAAAGAAGAAGCCAACTTAATTCAAGTATCTGTTAGGTATGACAATTGGATGTTCAGCTAAATTTAAAAGTTTCTTTTGTAAAACAATACAAGGAGATTTGAAAATATCAAAATGATCTTTAAAAAAATATTACCCATAGAAGATCAATTGGAATACAGTGCAAATGTTTGTGGAAATCTCCCCCTGTATAATTAACACTAGCTAATTTTCACCTGGAGGATTTTCACTCAAACAGCCTTTTTATTATGTTTGCATATTTAATTTTTATACACACACACACACACACACACACACAACTTTCTATCAGATATTTACATTGTGATCTAGTCTTGACAAGTATCCATTTATTGGCTGCATAATGTTCATTTCAATAGATTTATCACAGTGATGATGTTGATGGTGATGATGATGGTGATGATGATGGTGATGATGATGATGATGATGATGATGATGATGATGATGATTTGATGTATGGGTTTTCCACTCAGGGCCTTGCACTTGCTAGGCACTTGAGCCAGCCACCAATTGTACATTTCAAATAGGGTCTTTCCAGCGGACATGTCAGTCCTCTTATTTATGTTTGCATCTAGTTGGGATGCAGATCTGTACCACCATACTCATCTATAGCTTGAGATTGGCTCATTTTTGTACCAAGTTAGACTTTGAACTTCAGTCCTTCTGACCTCTACTACCAAAGTAGCTGGTATTACCAATGTGAGCCACTATACCAACCATGATCAAGAGTTGTTATTAAATACTCAACCACAGGGAAATCGTTGGTTTTAATTGATTTTTTTACAAACACAATATTTGCAACAAATAGCTTCATTAGTAAATCTCTTAGAACTTAAGACTTTCTATAAATTCACTAGAACAAAACTATTGGATCAAAGACATATAAACACTTTTATGTCAACTGATGAATATTGACAAATTCCTTCTAGAAGTTTCCAATGCCCTTTAGTAACTTTCCTTTTCCCAATTTAATTCAGAGTAGAGTACTTACCATGTACCTGACCCTGTGCTAAACACATATATACAGAGATTCAAAAATTATGCCAAGATTTCAAAAAGTTTCTTTAAATCTCTACAGATTCTGAACGTCATTTTTGCTATGGAGATAGACTGGTGAAATGGATTTGCTTTCAAGTATTCACTAGGTAAAATGGTTCTAGCACAATAAAGAAAGAATTGAAGGTATGAAGGGACAACTGCCCCCAGGGACTCTGACTTCCCTCCCTGGGATGAGCAAGGGGACACCAGTTTCACAGGCTAAGCAACATACTTCATGATGTTCTTACTTTCCATCCTGCCCAAAGCACTTCATGCCACTGCTTGTGACATTCGGAGTAGAAGAAAGGAGGAAGAGGACAGAGACATCCCACTTTCAGCAAGTCCTAAAATGGAATTCACGTTTGTCTTCCTAAGTGACTTTTGCATTACATTTGGTTACACTAAATTGAAACCTTTAACTAAGTTATTATTAGTTCACCCAGGTAGGATAATTATTTGAGTAGCTGGAAATGTCAGGAAATTTGCATTTGAAGATACTCTACTTTCTTGCTAATTCTGTACTGCTGGGATGTGTTCTCATTTTAGAAAATTCCCCAGAAGAGAATTGTCCCCTACCTGTGGCTCCATTAGCAGAGAACATGGTTGTCTCTGAACAGCGGAGACACTGCCCAGTGGCACTGACATTAACTTTGCAGCTCCTTACCTTGTGCTATCATCTCAGGACAGTGCGATTCAAACTTTCCTGACAGATGTTTTTTGTTTAATTATATCCAAGAAAGGTGTTCATAAAAACTCAAGCTGTGTGAGTTGAAGATGGTTACATCCCATTAACCAACTGTGGCAACTCGCTGATACTATTTTCCAGATGATATCCTTGCTTCAAAATTAAAGAGCTTCCCAGAATCAGCGGCTCACACCTGTAATCCCAGCTACTCAGAAAGATGAGATCTGAGGGTTGCAGTTTGAAGCCATCCCAGGCAGGAAAGTCCATATCTCCAATAAACCAGCCAAAAGCTGCAAGTGGAGCTGTGCTCAAGTGATAGAGTATAAGTCAGACACAAAGAAACATAGGTTGTATGACTTCCCTCTTTTGTGGTAGCTAGAATGTGCTGACACAGCTACAAGTGAACACACTGGATGGTAAGCAAGGGGTTACAAATGAATTAACTAAAGTGTAGCAGAGTATGGAGGTCACAAATAGTATAACACTTTAAAAAGACTAAGTCAAAGTCCAACAAGAGAAGCACCAGGAAATGGGTACTTACAAGAAGGAAGTGGAAAGGTAGAAGAATGAACAGGGAATGGGGGAGAAGGCAGGCAAGAATTCCTTGCATATACCACAGGATTGAGAAATTTAAGGGACTGGTGGGTCAAACTGGAAGTGAAGATATTGAAGTGATCACAGGACTCAAGATGCATTGCACACATAAACTGCTTGATTAAAAGGCCAAAAAATCAATACATAACCTAAAATGAAGATAAGCAAGGGAAGGGGTGGGTGAGACTATTGAAAGGGGCAAATTTGATCAAGACACACTGTATTCATAAACTGCTTTGGTGAATGGCAACTTCTTAATGCAACTACTTAAAAAATGTTTAAAAGGAAAAGAAAAAAATAAGCTCGGGGATAGTGCCCAGGCCCTGAGTTCAAGCCCCAGGACTGGCATCAAATAAATAAACAAATAAATTGATTAATAGCAATGCTGCCTGGAGCCCCTTAGGGTTTATATCACTAAAGATATCTGGATCTGAGATCAAATTAGACAAGGTTTCTGTGACCTACAGCTTTCTTGGTCATTTCTCTCCATCTGGAGAGGATCTTCTCCTTGAACTCCAACTCTGTTTACATGCCAATTACCTCTGGAAATCAGATCCTACATATCTGAGTGTTAGCCTCATTTTCACAAACTTTACATTCTTTTTAAGTAATCCCTGAGGGAATAACCAAGTTTGCTTGTTGGTCATTTTTAATACTAGTTTCTGGGTTAACATTACAATTCAGTTTATTGGTTGTAATGACTGTCAAAAGAGGTCTCGATCATGAAGGGCCATCAACACTGGAGTTCACTGAGGTCCCCATTTCACAGCAAAAAGAATGGAGGCCCGTGCAGCTGGGGAAGGGGCCTGGTGATTCTATCTCTAGAATAAC